AGTTCTTCATTTGAGAATCTTATAAATATCAACATGCTGATGGTCCATAGCTGCATCATATGTCTTCTGTTTCCACTTTTTTTAAAAAAAATTTTTCTTTTTTGGGTCTCCTTCACCTCCTCTGGAAATTTAATTTTCCAATGCAATAGGCAAAAATAGATGCATAGGCAAGTGGGAAAGCCATGAGAATAACAGCAACAAGGGCTAGGCGGTCAGGATGAAAACCGTAGTACTCTTGCAGAAAAGAACTGACAGTCTTCAGCTTCCCAAATACTGATATTTCTTTGTCCATGTCTCCATATTGTGCAGTTAAGAAACCATTGAGGGACCAAGATGTAGGACAGATCCAATAGCACCACACCCACCACTTGGGAATTTTCTGCATGTAAGGTAACAGGATTGTTATTCATTCATCTGTTAGCCTAAAACATGTTAAATGAGCAGGGATTGAAGAATGAAAAGTTTACCGGTCCTGGGATAAGGAAACCGGAGAAAAGATTCAGTATAGGGTAGGTTGCAGCTGCCAGTATGGAAGCTATCTCCAAAGTCTGGCTCAAGGAAACTATCAGCATCCCAAGGTATACAAAATATAGAAATGTGCAGAATGTTGCATAAATGTACCAAAACACCTTGAAAGCTGACCAACAATACCCTATTGCTGGATATGTGATAGCAGTATATAGAATTGCTTGCAATAATACATAAGGTATCTCAATCACCACCTATTTTCATTCAAAAGATTGCCTGTGTTATCATCATGCATAAAACAGCAAAACATTTAAGTAAATTACACACACATTATGGTAGGATTAGGAGTGTACCTGTGCAAATGAATAATTCCATGATGAGTACATTCCTGCAAATTTTTCTCGGTATAGAACAGTGCGCTCTGTTGCCACATGAGGTAGAACTGTTGCACAGTTGTTTATGCCCAAGAAAATGAGAGCAGCATACATTGATCCGAGAATGTTAAATAAATCCTGCTCATTGTGGCTTCGAAAGCCAGCAAAGAAAAGTCATTCATGCTTGTTGAAGTTAATGGTATATTTCCTTGTGTGCTTTTGCAAGCATTTAAAAAGTACTTACATTTCTTGTGCTTTCTGCCAAAAAACTGCTGCTATCAATAGTGACACGACAATCGTATAACTGAAACGTGCCACATTGTATAGAGGACTTCTCCAGTAGGATAGGTGTTGCTTCCAAAGGCATGCTTTAAACTGTACCCGGCTGCTTTGTGCAAAGGTAGTTGGGAAGTGTAAGTCTTTTGAACCTGGCTGAGGTGCAGTTAATTGACTCACCAATTCTACAGTATTCCTGCAAATGAAAGAAGAGAATGTTAATTATGTATGATTTTCAGCGGAAAATCGTACTTGAAGATACACATTGCACTTAAATTCATTTTAGATAGTTTCCAGGACACATGTGAAGGTAGCCTAAAGAGATGATTATTTTCACAATACACATTAGCACTGAACTGTTAATCCTTTTTGGTATGTGTCAAACTACATAAGTATCCATTTACTTACTCATACAGAGCTGACTCCTTATAAATCTTGGCAAAATCTAATCCAAGTTTTGCTTCCATTGATGCAGATGTAACTTCCAACATCCATGTTGCTGGGTTATAATTGTCTTTAATCTTTGGCACCCCAGATATACCCTGTTGAATGGTGATTGCACTTAAATAAGCAATTTGAATCTACTTAGTTAGAAGTAAAGCACTGGAATTATCAGCATACCTCAAAATACTTGATGAGATTGCTTGAATGATGACCAAGTTGTCCAGAGTAAATAATCTCTCCTCCAATTTTCATCAGAATCAACTGCGAGAATGGGATGTCTCACTTAGTTATTACTAGTGCATTACATCATCATACAATATTATTGATATTCCGAGAATTATATTATGTCAGTTTGTCGTAAATATAGGAAGCCATCTTCTTCCTCAAAAGATGATGGATTCATAGAATTAGAAGATAGCACAGTCTGTGGCATTTTCACATCTTGTATTTATATAACTGTTATAGCAAGATGTTCCATATTAGCTATATTGTATCAACATGGAGAGCTAAACATATCTAGTTTAAAAATATTAAATATACTTCCCTTTCTCTTACCTCATCAAATGCCTCAAATACATCAATGCTTGGTTGGTGTATGGTGCAGACTACTGTCCTTCCTGTGGAAACAACATTCTTCACTGCACGCATGACAATTGCAGCTGCTCTGGCATCTAAACCTGATGTGGGTTCATCCATAAATATGACTGATGGATTAGAAATAAGCTCCACTGCAATTGTTAGTCTCTTGCGCTGTTCTGTAGAAAGGCCACTTTGCCCGGGTATGCCAACTAATGAATCTTTTATGTCATCAAGTTCAATTGTTTCAATCACTTCCTCTACAAATCTCTGCATGATAGATTAAGCCTAAATCATATTAGTTCATTTTGAGTGATCAACTTAGTCTGCATCATAAGTTCGTTTTTTTATTTTCTCTGTTTCCTCGAAGTTGGATACTAGAGAATAGATACTGTGAAGAAAAGCATACCACTCTTGTGTCTCTGTCTGTCTCTGGAGGCAACCGTAACCAAGCAGAGTATATGACTGACTCTTCAACAGTAATTTGGGGGGAATGTATGTCATTCTGCTCACAATAACCTGATATTCTAGCAAATGTCTTCTGAACTTTAGGATAGCCTCCTATTCTTATTTCTCCTTCAATGATACCAACAGTTTTCCTTCCAGAAAGAACATCCATAAGAGTTGTTTTTCCAGCACCACTAACACCCATCAGTGCTGTGAGAATCCCAGGCCTGAATGCACCTGTGATGTCATGAAGCAGCTGAAGCTTCTTTTGATTGAAACCATTCTTTCTCATTTCCTGTGCAGTAGGAATATGAAATGAATTTCAAACCTTCTCACATACAATTCTTGACAATTAAGAGCACTAACAATTAATCTTTATTACCGTAGGGACGTCAACAAAGTATTGCACTTCCCTAAATGCTACTGTCAATGGTTGAAATGGCAAACTCATCTTCCCTGTAGACCAACCATATGCATTTTGTATCATAACATTTAATTTCTTTTCCTTAGTATATCAAAAGTTAACTAGCAAGTAAGGACTTAATCTTACTTCCATCTGCTGTACTTGGAGGAAAAGAAGGTGGATCTGAACCATTCTCTGCTTTAGCAGCTTCTCTTCCTTGTAGTTGAGACAGCCTCTTTTTTGATATTATAGTTCGAGACATCCTCGGAGCTGTATTTATGAGATCTTATGGGTAAAGGAACAAATGTTTTTCATCAAATTACCCTTATTCATGAGGTTTATCAGTTGAAATGGACTTACGTTTTAAGTAAGTTAAAGCTAAGACAAATCCAAAATCAAAAAGTAATGTGAACCCAAACAGTGCTCCTAGCGATATCCAATAGAAGTAGCCATCAAAATTCAAGCCATGAGTGGTTAGAACCTCCTTCCCTATAGTTGTGTTTCCCTGCAAAACCTGTTTAGGAGATGGAACTAAAGTTATTGGAAATTCAAATGATGGTTATGAGGAGATTTACTTAAATTTAAGCAATTATGTCATTATGACTGTACCTTTTGCCAGCGAGGAGCAAGGAATTCGTTTACTGATAAGCCTATTTCCCCATACGTCATGGGAGAAAGCCAGAAGCCCCATCTCAACCAAGGTGGTAAAGCGGCTGTTGAAAAAAAAAAAAAGGGAAAAGAAACCTTGCTGAGTGTTGTCTAGTTGTTTCTCTTTGACACATATTTGGAAGTAAATGTGTTCTTCTAGGAGGGAAAATGTAGAGAGACAAAAGACTTACGTCGTGGAAGAATGAAGCCTCCAAAGAGAAACATTAGTACCAAAACCACAGAACCAACAGTTGTTGCAACGACCAAAGTTTGGAAAATTGAGGCAAAGAAACGACACATGGATGTTGATGCTAGATGCAGCGCAAACAGTAAAAGAAACTGACAGAAAAACCTGAATCCATACATGCTCTATTAATAGACAGCAGTTATAATAAAAAAGGAGATATAAACACTAGTTACCTTTGCACTTCGGGGCTATAGCCAATAACATAGTAAGTTATAGCTGTCCAGAGTATAGAGTCAGCTAGTGAAAGAGGAATTTTCAGGATAGAGGCTGGAACAGAATAAGCCCAAGTAGGGTACAGGTAGAATGATCTTTGCTTGTAAACAATAGGAAGCCTAGTGATTGTCAAGGCTAGTTCTGCAACTCCATTAGTCAAGAGTCTCACAAGTGCATAAAACATAGATCCCATCAAGTAGTTTGCACTCGTCATGTCCTCTTTCATTTGAGCATGTAGAAACACTGTCATTGTTATGAATGCTGTGATGACAAGCTGCATTCGAGGAGGGATGAAACATGTAAGTTTGGTAAACAAAAGGATATTGATACCTATTAATACCAGAAGTTTTGTAAGTGTATCCAATAACCTGAGCTGTTTTGAATACATAGACAAATGAATTCCGTTTCATGAGCAGCAGCTCTCTAGCCATGCAAGCTCTGAATAATTCCCATTTGTTCAAGGAGTATGTGGTAAATGACAAAGCATTCCGATGACACTTTGATCTATCATATTCTTGTGACAGCTCATCTTTCAACTTCACTCCTAAATAACTTGCTTGGAACATTTCGGAGAATCGACCCACAGAAACATAACTGTATGGGGTGTCAGTGTGACACCAGTATTGTGCTTGATCTTTCCTGGAGATTACCTGTAAATGGTGGAAAACTTAAAATTTGTGCTAATTCATAGTGATTGAAATGGCAGGTGAAAACGCTTCACACCTCTTGGAGGAAGTCAGCAACACCCTTTCTTTCTGGGCACTTGAAACCACAATCCTCAAAATATTGAAGCACGTCACTGCGAGGACCATGGTATACAATCTTCCCCTCTGCCATCAGTATTATATCATCAAATAGATTAAATGTTTCAGGTGCTGGCTGAAGAAGTGAAACCATTGCTGTTATGTCTGTGATCTGCACCAATTGCTGAAGACAGGTAACAATCTGAAAGGTTGTGGAACTGTCTAATCCTGTTGATATTTCATCCATGAATAGAGCCTTTGTGGGGCCAACAATCATCTCTCCTGTCATGTAGAACATCCAAAAGAATTTGGAATGAAAAGAATGTTTCTCAGCTAACATATGGCTTTTAGAGGTGCATGCAATATAACAGTTTACAGTCACAAGCATGCAAGTGGAATTTGCAATCAGAATGAAAATGATTAACTAAGGATTTTATTTCTGCTGCCAAAACAAGATATTTTTTTTTTACCACCTGTTGTTAGTCTTTTCCTCTGACCACCTGATATGCCTCTTCTCAGTGCACTACCAACCATGACATCAGCACAGATATCCAGTCCAAGGATCTAAGAAGCCACAGTGCTTCAGTTTTATATTCCGTAGAAGATGAGAAATCAGCTGTGTTTGGAGAATAATTACCTTTAAAACATAATCTGTTTGGAGATTTCTTTTTTGCCCTTCTACTGAAATTGCCTGTTTAAGTCATCACTCTGAATATTACTGTGGATATGTTCTAGAAATTATCCAAAATAAGCTGTTCTATAATTACCTTCATGTAGGTATCAATGTCCGGATCAGGGAAAATTCCTGCTTCTCTTTCTCTTTTGCTAACCTCTATCATCATATCTTTGCAGCCATGAATGAATTGTAACTTCAGTTGTTACTGCATGCGACAAATATACCGATAAACAGATACATGGAGGAAGCAAGGAACCTTACCTGTCCTGCTTCCAACACCCTGGCAGCGAGCTGAAAAGTCAATTGTTTCTCTGACAGTCATCTCAGGAATGTGCAGATCATATTGACTAATATAGGCTGAAGTTTTCCGAGGAACAAATTCATCTAGCCTGTAGCCATTATAAGAGATTTCACCTGTGACCTGTGAGAAGGAAAATGTCTATCAGGTCTGCTTTAATGATTGCTTAAATAGGTTGGCTCAGCTAAATGACCTACCTTTTCTTTCTAAGTAAGCATTCAATATGGACTCCGATGTAAATTACCAGACAGAAAAAATTGTACTTGATCTAAACTATAGTGTGAACAGATATACATTCACTGATACATAGGTTGCTTGAAATTGTTGACAATGATTTTCTTTGCAAAATTTTTCTAAGCATAGTACTGTTCTTAACCCATCTACAGAAACTCTGTTTGGAATACCAACCTTTAGGGACTGGTCAAGTTTACCAGCAAGGGCGAGTAATAATGTGGTTTTCCCACAGCCTGGAGGTCCAAGAAGAAGAGTAAGTCTGCATCCAAATAAGCCCTCCCGTGAGTTTACACTTCTATAACCTTCTTTTATCTTTTCTTGGTAGGTTGACATCTAAAATATCATCTTATTAAAAAAAAAAAGAATAAAAAAAGAATTAAAAAAAAAAGACATCTAAAATATCATGCTTTCTACATGCTACCTTGATGGTTTGATGATGCCACTGACATCTTTCAGAATGCTTATGTTGGCTCCTTGAGGCTTGATCCGCGTTACCCTCGTAAAAACCTGTTCAAAAGTTTTGAGGAAGATCAAGTCAAGTCATTTGCAGGTAAGATGGTGCAAGAAATCTGAGTGCTTACCGATAAAAAGCCCACAATAGAGTTCCATAGTGTAGGGAGAGGCTTTCCTTGAACCACCTCACATTCTGCTTCCACAGAGAGGTTCTTGTATCTTACCTCCACAGTCGGTAACTCTACACTTACCCTATATAAAAGTCTTCTGTGAATACAGCAGCATGACGCACAGAAAACGCATCCAGTATCTTAACATATGAAAGCAGAACTAACCTGTCTATCCTCTCCCTTATTTTATGCAGCAACCGAAGATTATCATTCTCGATGTGCTTGATAAGCTTCTCGATGAAGAGATGCCTTTCTGCAGCACCAAGCTTTGTAACGTCAGTCACCCTCTTGCCTTCAGTTTCCTCTCCAGTGTTTCCTTCTCTACTTTCATGCTCAATTTCAAACAATGAAGTTCTAAGCCTTTTAAATGTTGGTAGTCTCTCAATCGCAGCCCACTGGAGTTGAAGGTTGTCATCCTCCTCTGCAATTGAATCTGCAGCATCATCAAAGCTCGGAACACGGTGGTGAAACAATGACTTGGCACTGCCTCCTATGTTTGTTAGCTCCATTTTAACTGGTATGCCGGTCTGTTCTATCCACTAGACCTCGATGAACTTGCATAGACAACTCTTCTGTATATTTATACACTTAGCAACACGAAGGATATATAATTCTTGAATACCAGTCTGAGGTGTGAACTTAATTAAAGTGTTCAAATGTGTAAATGAAAAAGAAAGTTCTTTGAGGAGATTATGTGCCTTTCGAATATTGGTTTTGAATAATATTTTATCTTAATTTGATTATTAAAAATAATTGATAATTAATTAATAAAATAATTAATATTTATTTATTTATAATATATTTGAATTAAGGAAAATGAGAAAAAGAGAATGGGAGGGGAGGGAAATTGTATCCCTCCATTTCCCTTTCCTCTCCTCTCCTCCCCTCTCGGTCTTTTATTTGAACAAATAAATAAATTGAACGAAAATAAAGAGCTTTTTTCTTCACAAACTTCATCCTATCTTTTTGGTAAAAACCTATTTTTAGTTTTTTTATTTTATTAGATTTATAAGTTTTAGTCTCTCATTTTATATAATGATACTTTTAATCCTTCACATATTAAAATGAAAGAAAATAAGTCTCATTTTATAATATTTCATTAGTTTTATTAACTAATTATTAGTTCTATTAACTAATTGTTAATTTTGTTAGTCAAAAGTAAGTTTTTACTAACTAATAGTTAATTAATAGTTAACTAATAGAGTTAACAGTCAACTAACAGAATAGTTTTGTTAATTGATTATTAACTTTATTAACTGAAAATAAGTTTTTACCAGCTAATGATCAGTTAATAGTCAGCTAATAGAGTTAACAGTTAGCTAATAAAACTAATAAAATGTCATAAGTGAAAGTTATTTTTTTTTAATTCTAATATGTAAAGGGTTAAAAGTGTCATAATATAAGATGTGATGTTAAAACTTACAAATCTAATAAGATAAATAGTTAAAAGTAAACTTTTACCTCCTCCTCCCCATTCCCCTTTTTTTTCCTTTTTTTTTTTTAATGACCTCCCGTCCCCTTTAATTTTTTTCATAATCAAATAAAAGAAATTTTTTTTATTCATTTCAATCCAAATATTTTATTAACATTAAAATCAATTTATAAATAAATATTTTTAAATATCATAATTAATTATTTAAAAAATAATAAATTAATAAAATTACAAGTAAAACTAATCACATTAACAAAATTAGCGGTCGGTGGCTTTAACCTTAGCCGCCTTTATCCCTTTTTCTCCTTTTCCCAGGTTCACATTGGGCCAGATAGCTAAACAGAAAAAGAGGGCAGTTGACAATCGCATCATCACATCACTGTTATTGTTAATAACTTGGGGATTATTGATTCGCCAGTTGACCCGAGCTGGATTCGTCAAAAATGCAAAATCTTATTTGTGCCCTCATCAGATATCAACAATGTTATCTTTGATTTGTTTATTCTTCCTTTTTTTCAAAAAAAAAAGAAAAAGAAAGAAAAAGGCATAAAGTTCAAAGTGGGAAGGGATTTGTTTGAATAGGATTTATCTTTCAAATTCTACAGTGAATAATAAATAGAGTAGTGAAGATGAGAGGCGAAAGAAAGAATGGGAAAGGAGAAAAAGAAAAAGAATAAAGAATAGAGCTTACTTTTTATTAGGTTTGTATAAGAATATAAAAAAAATAAAAAAAAATAACTTAAGAACAATTTTATAAATAATTTTTTTTATATAATTAATTTTATTATATTTATAATATTATATATTTATTTAATTATGTATAAAAATTATACAAATAAATTATTTATGCATTATTTCCCAAAATATAATTAGGGCTTCATTCATAATCCTTAAAAATGACCAAATCAGTATTCTATTTCTAGACATATATTTTGTCGATATCAGCCAATCTTGAGGGCCACCAACGGAGTGTATGTCCCTGTCACGTCAGCAAATGTATTTATAAGAATAGTGCCATTAACTCCTTGATTAGGAAAATAAAGAGTTGGATTCCTTGTACAGTAAAATCACAAAAGTTCAACTCCTTATTAAGTAGTTTAGCCATGAAGAAAAGAAGAAAGCTTGTAATGTGGACACAACTTTGATGTCAAAATAATTAAAAAAAAAATGAAAAGATAACGTTTTTTTTAACAAAAAGGAAAATATAAGACTAGAATATATAATGAAAAAATTAATAAAGTTTTAATAATTTTAGGCTCTACAGCTACAAAATTATCTAAAAGATATTTTTGATATACTCTTCATCAGGAATGTAGCAATTTTAAGTACTACTTAGATTAAGAAAAAAAACACTTTAATAGACAAAAGATTCCATTCCAAATAGGAAAAAACTGAAAAAGAAGGAAAACAATATTTTAAATAATCAATTAACTCTAATGGTTTTGTAACAGAGGTTGAGGGGGTGGCAGGAACGGCCTCAATTGTAACGAACACAAAATTTTGAGTAGAAGTACAATAATAATGTACAAAATAGAAGGTAGATAGAAGGATGTTAATAAACGAATATTTTGAACGAGGATATGAATGAACAATTTTGGAAAGTATAAGGACCATAATTGGCGCTTTGATCCTTTCTTCTTTTCTTTTTCATGTCATAAGAAATATGATTGATCCTCTAAAGACAGTCTATCACCCTGATCTCTTGAAAATAGCTTTTGGACTTGTTTCTTTGGCTTCTCCTGGTGTCCACTTCGTGACTCATCTTTTTTCTTTAGATGGAACCCTCTGAATAATGCAATTAATCATGGTGGGAAAATAATGTAAAGGTAGAGGGCAATCAACAGGCAAAGGAACTTGTGAGAAAATAATGTCTCTGCTTTTAGTTTTGATTTTTCCTCACTACTCATAGCAGATCTTGTGGTGGTGGTTAGGGTTGGAAGTGGGGAACCAGGAAGAGATTGAGAG